ATCTGAAGGGGGAAAGTTTTCAATTAATTTTTGTTTGTTCCAATTTAAGAAATTTATTTTGTTTGTCTATTACTATTTTCATGTAACTTTTATTTATAAATATGTAAATGAAAATTAATTCAATAAATAATCTTTATTTAAAATTTACATTGATTGTTTTATATTCAGAATGGGGGGGGGGTCGACTTATGCAATAATATTTTGGGGTAATGGTTAAAAAAGTTCCCCGGCCGCTGACTTAAATTGAATCATTCAATCAATCAAACGAAAGAAATATTGTATTAAAAGTTGTTTAATTTATTTGATTAAACTGTAGAATATGAACAAAATGATTGCTAATTATATATTCGATTTAATATGTATTGGTAACAACTAGAGTATTGATTCTAATTACAATTGAAAGTGTGGTTCACGGCCCATAGTTAGTTACGCTTCAAAGGGTACAAAGTGACTAATATCATTGGTATTTGATACGTGCAGTATGTAACTGTTAATTTCTATTGGTAACTGCTTTATTTCTTTTGCTACCACTTGCATAACGGTTTTATAACAAATTTACATAACATTTGTAAACAGATTCTATAGAGACTTTATACTATAATTATTCGATTAAAAGTTAAGAATTTAATCTTTATTACAATTGAAAGTCTATTAAAGGATTTAATTGAAGCAGTGAGTTATATCTTTGGTATTTTCATTATTCGTGACTACGAAGATTTACTGGTAACAGATTTATTTCTGGAATTGCTGCTACGTGCATAAACGTCCAAGCGTTTGTCCCAAATGTTTGATGTGAATATTTTTGTTTAACTAATTCCAGATACACCGGTCCACATACGTGCATCACATACGAGGCCGTCAATCAAGCGTATTTGGACGCCCGGAAGAGAATCCGTAAGTGAAACGAACGAGTACAACTCATTTTCCTTTCTACACTGTTATTTGTAAAAAAAGGAATAGGAATCAAATCCAAAAATAAAATAAAAACGGTTTACGCACGTAAACGTCCTCAATTTCACTTGCGTAACAGTTATTCGACCGATATAAATAAATATATTTTCAACGGATAAATTTGTGTATATTTTATAAATTTTACAATTTTCCTTTGCAGACGTTTCCCAACCGCACGGCGATTACAAGCCTGAAGATGTTGCCACAGTCGGTGAACTACTTTTGGATGTGTCCATCAACCTCGCAAGAACGTAAGACTTTGCATAGAGGAAATGGGATTGTTTTTAATCGTTATCTTATCTTCTTTTAGTTACGGTTTGTCGTACGAGGATATTGAGAAGGGTCTTCCTTTGATCGATACCACAAAGACTTTGATCAGAGAGGTGTGTCCTCCGTTCTTGTCCAACGTAGAGTGCAGGGCTGGAAAGTACAGGCGTTTGGATGGACTCTGCACGAACTTGGAACATCCCACTTGGGGAGCCACCAACACTCCATTCACCAGGTACATTTTACTTTACTGTTAAATTTCAATCATAATTCCTCAAAACTTAATGAAGAAATGTAGGCTTTTATGTCATATTAGCAGTATATTTTTGTTTTCAATTTAATTTTCGAACAGAATAAATTGTAAAAACTATTGCCTCATGAGAAACTAAGTATATCTTATCAGGTTTAAGAGCCAAGGCTGTTTCGTTCGAATAAGGGTCGAAAACGTTTGTAAATTGAAGAACGTTTTTAGCAAAAGTAAATGCATGTGAGCCGTCGTTGAATAATAGTCTCACACTCTCGCCTCTCTCGGATCGGCGACCTTTCTGTTGCACAATCGAAGCTGAAAGTGAATGACGAAGAAGTTGTAGAAGAAGAAGGAAAAAAAAGAGGACTTCCAATTTACCGTATGATCTCGATTCTTGCAGATTGATCGGGCCATTGTTCGCCGACGGTATGACCGCCCCTCGCATCAGTGTAACTGGAAAGGCTTTGCCACCATCCAGAGTGGTCTCCCGCACGATGCATCCAGATGAAGGATTCCACGATCACGCCGGTACAGTAATGGTCATCGCTTGGGGACAATTCATGGATCACGACTACACACTCACCGGAACCCCACTTGGTAAATCAATAAACTTAATTTCCATTAATATGAAGTTTCTATAATGTTTAAATGTATGTACTACAGATCCGCACAACAGGAACGATCCCGAAGAGTGCTGCAACAGGCCACCACATCTCAAGCATCCGTACTGTAACGAAATCGAAATCCCCGAAGACGATTACTTCTTCAGGTTGTTCGGTGTACGTTGCATGGACTTCGTCAGAGCTTTCCCAGGAGTGCGTCCCGGCTGCAGATTGGGATCCCGCAATCCATTCAACACCCTCACCGGTGTCCTCGATGGTAACACCGTTTACGGTGTGACAGAGAAGTTCTCGAGGAAACTGCGTGCCGGATACGGAGGACAATTGCGCATGAACCCCATCTTCCAGGAGTTCGGATTGAAGGATCTGCTTCCACTGAAATTGGACATCCCTGATGAAGGTTGCACCCGTCACAACGCTTCCATGTTCTGCTTCGAAGCCGGAGAGATCCGTGTCAACGAGCAATTGGTTCTCACCTGCATGCACACCCTGATGGCCCGTGAACACAACAGATTGGCCGAAGGTTTAGCTCATGTCAATCCTCATTGGGACGATGAAACCCTCTTCCAGGAAGCCAGACGCATCGTCATCGCCCAGATCCAGCACATCACCTATAACGAATTCCTTCCCATCCTCCTCGGCAAAGACGTTATGCAGAAGTTTGGAATCTTGTTACAAAAAGACGTAAGTTTAACTCATCAAATAATATAATTACAAATTAATACAAAATTTCTTTTAGGGATTCTGGAATGGGTATGATTCCAACGTGAACCCCAACGTAATCGACGCTTTCGCCGCCGCCGCCTACCGTTTCGGACACTCTCTTCTGCCCACAGCCGTTGAAAGATGGAGCAAGGCCCATAAATTCATCGGTAATTACAATTCTTAATAATATTCATACTTTTATTAATAAAAAAAATAACTTATTTGCAGCTTCTAAACGTTTATCGGATTTGATCCGTAGACCATTCGATTTGTACCGCGCCGGAGTCATCGACGAATACTTCATGGGTCTCATGAATCAAGTGGCACAAGCCATGGACGATTCCATCACCCAGGAGGTAACAAACCATTTGTTCAAGAAAGTAGGAGCTCGTCACGGTATGGATTTGGTCAGCTTCAACATGCAGAGAGGTCGTGAATTCGGTATTCCCGGATACATGGAGTTCAGGAAATTCTGCGGCCTCCCCGGCGCCGACACCTTCGACGAACTCTTCGGATCCATGCCCAACGAAACCGTCAGAAGATACACCAGCATTTTCGAGTAAGTCAAAATATTGAAAAATGTTGGAGATAAATTAATAAACGATATTTTTTGCAGACATCCAAGCGACGTTGATTTGTGGTCCGGCGGTGTCTCCGAAAAACCATTACCTGGCAGCATGTTGGGACCGACCTTCGCTTGCATCATCGCCACCCAATTCAGCTACTCCAGAAGGGGAGACAGATTCTGGTACGAATTGCCAAACCAACCATCGTCCTTCAGCCCAGAGCAACTGCAGGAAGTCCGCAAAACTAGAATGGCTAGGGTGATCTGCGACAATACCGATCTTATCGATACGATACAACTGTACCCAATGGTCCTTCCTGATCACGAGATGTAAGGCTAATCTCTACAACATTAACAATTACGAATTAACAAACGTTTCTTTTGCAGTAACCCAAGAGTACCTTGCAAGAGCGGAGTGTTACCGAGCATAGATCTGAGCAAATGGGCCGAATTCCCATCCGACCATCAGGGATTCCAGCACGGCGCCAACTTCGGTTTCGATATTGGAAAGAAATAGGATGTTTTTGAACGAGAAGAAATCTTAAGAAAATACATTTATTTTTTTATTATTGTTTTATGTACAGATGCCATTTAAATTATTATTATTATTACGACTATATGGAAATATATAAATATATAGGCGAACGCGATTCACTATACCAGGAAGTGAAAGGAATTCATCGCGGTAGACACTAAGATTGCATCCTCCCTTCTATATCTATATCTCTCTCTCAATCTCATACATCTTACTCTTTAATATAACATTACATTACATTTTTTTTTTTGTTTATACTAGCACCATAGTTTTCATTCGCAAAATACATGATAAGTGAAATAATGAAATAACGCAGAGAAAGCCTCTCTACCTCAAAAGAACTAAAAGAATGAAGTTTAAGTAAAGAAAAAAAAAACAATATATAAACACTCGTATATACACTATATATATAATTATACTTACGATATATAGCAGAAGCAATAGGAACGGTCTAAATTGTTATTTAAGTTCTTGCAAAATCGATTCACACCCACTTAGTCTGTATTTATTTAGTACTTAATTCTGTTTGCAATTTATTATCAACACATATTATTATTATTCCCTCCTCTTCACAATTGAATGAAAGAAAATTTATATTTTTTATGTACAGATTTATTATTTTTTTTATATATAATTACAACTTGTATATATACTTACATGGTATTAAATAAGTCAAAAATATTCCTTTCTCATTATTTATTACAACCTCATCATAAACTATTCCTAATCTTAATTACAGAACTAATTCAGATACAAAACTAACTCCTAGTTAACTCAAACGTGTAAATTATATAATAAAAATATTTAGTATGCAGTTTGAAAATTAGAATTAAGTTGTTTTGTAAAAGAATTTGTCAGAAGTGGGATTCGAACCCACGCCCTCAGAGAGGACCAGAATGCTCGAAGACCTGCATCTGCAGGCAAGGTAAACCTTGAGTCTGGCGCCTTAGACCGCTCGGCCATCCTGACATATAATATTTCTATCATTTTTCGTCGATAGACACACGAAGGTGCTATTAATGAATTATTCAAATTTAGATTACACAACTTAAATGAATATATCGTCGCCTACGAAAGAAACTTTTTTTATCAAGTTACATCATATGGCCCATTAGCTCAGTTGGTTAGAGCGTCGTGCTAATAACGCGAAGGTCGCGGGTTCGATCCCCTCATGGGCCAAATTCTTTTATAATTTTGCAACAAATCCTCCAAACAAATACATTAAATCTTCAGGTCAATAAACAAATATATAATTTAAAAAAAAATGATGTTTTATTTATAAATTATAATTGAATACATAAAAAAAGTTTTTATATTTTACTTAAATTAAGGTACATGTATTAATCTCTTATAATCGATTTTCTCCAATTCCACTAATGGCTTGAGCTGTTCAGCAAAGATCCTCATATCCTCAGCGATGGCATTCTGTCCAGATGGAGCAAGCACTGAGAGCTCCACCAAGTAGCTCTGTGATATAGGCTCAACACTCTCTCCAGGTTTGTTTGCAACCATCTTAAAGATTTTAGAAACTGTGATCTTCATTCTTCCCTTCCTGAACATGTAGCCTCTCGCAATATACTCAAAATCAATTCTGCATCCCAACTCAGTTAAGAATTCGACAATTGTGTTGCTGCAAGCCACATCCAAGCTTGATCTCACCAATGTGGGCCTGTTCCTTCCTCCCAACTCGTGCTGGCCCACATACCTCAATTGCCAAGGTGCATCTTGCACATCCAAAGCTCTCCTCACTCTCAGAGGAATTGCCATTTGTGGACTCGTGTTGCTACCTCTTAATGTGAAGCATAATTCATGATCATTGAAGGATTCTGGGCCACTGTCAACGTTATCACACAATCCTCTCAGCCTGTGCAGCAGGACTTCAACATACACATCCAGTATTGATCCTTGCAGCAAATACTCCTGATTCGGTATAATATTCGACCTCACTGCTGAAGTCAGCGAATCCATAGCAGACTGCGACTCCCACATCTTGTTTGAAACTTATCTTCTGTACTTAAAAAAAACGCTGATCTGCAAGGAGCAGAGTATACAATAACAAATAATAAGAAATGTCAGATTTATAGGTTATATTTATGTTTTTATCTTAAGTTGTTGGCTATCATTGATATTATTAAACATTCCTGCCAATAGAACAAAATCTATTCAAATTTGTAATAATTCTCCTTTTTTTAAATTTCTATCTTGTTATTAAATAGTAATTAAAATTATCCTATCTACGCTATTGTTTTCTTTTAGATTAATTACTTGATATTACTAAATAAAATGGATTTTCTTTATAAAATGTATGGTAGTTGGGTTGCATATAACAAGAAGTTATGAAAACCAAATGAGACGTGGGTATGTGCAATAATATGCGATAATTCGAATAATTTTAGGTTATTTTATTGGTCCACTATGAGTTTGAAGGTAATTTCCTTAATATTCGAATTAAAACAATAAAAATTGAATTGCATAAATAAATAAACATTTTCTATTTGCAGCACAAATTAAAGTCATTAGTTGTTGTCTCTATGGGAGGCATAGCCACTTTTGCAGCTATAAATGTTTACAAGCAAGATGAGCACTTTTACAAACATTATATTATGCCAGTAGTGCATCTACTTGATCCAGAATCTGCTCATCGATTAGGTATTGTTGTTAGCAAATACAGACTGCTGCCAAAAGCCAATTACACAGATCCCAAACAATTGGTGAGAATGAAATAATTCTAAGATTGCAAAGTAAAATGATTATTAATGTTATTGCAGAATGTCACAGTGTTTGGTAAAACTTTCTCAAATCCTATTGGAATAGCAGCTGGATTTGATAAGCATGCTGAAGCTGTGCTGGGGCTTCAAGACATGGGTTTTGGGCTAGTTGAAATTGGATCTGTTACTCCTCAACCACAAGAAGGTAATGCAAAGCCACGCGTCTTTAGGTTGAATGAAGATTATGCTGTGATCAATAGGTGATATTCGTAATTGATTTGTTATTAAAGAAATTCAATTGTACGCAATTATTTTACAGGTATGGATTTAATAGCGATGGTCACGAAGTCGTTTACAATCGTTTAAATAAACTACGGTCAGAGGCTAAATTCGATGGAGTGCTTGGAATCAATTTAGGTAAAAATAAAGAATCGCAGAGTGCCGTCAACGATTATGTAGCTGGTATAGAGAAATTTGGATCTTTAGCCGATTATTTAGTCATCAATATCAGCAGGTTTATTAAGCAATGAATGATGATTCGATTCTAATTAGATTTTTTTTTGTAGCCCAAACACTGTGGGTTTGAGGAATTTGCAGGGCAAAGAGCAGCTCAGGGATTTGCTGAAGAACGTTTTAGAGGCTAGAAATAAATTACAGGATCCAAAACCTCCGCTTTTACTGAAAGTCGCACCTGATTTGAGTACGCAGGAGAGGAAGGATGTGGCTGAAGTTATTAAATCTAAAGGATGTAAAGTGGATGGTCTCATTGTGAGCAACACGACGATACATGGAAGGAGCGCTTTGGAGAATAAAAGTAGAGATGAAACTGGCGGACTTAGCGGAAGACCAGTCAAAGAAGTTTCAACTGAGATGATTGCGGAAATGTACAAATTAACAAATGGTTTACCTATCATCGGTAAGAGGAATGACAATTATTATGATGTGAACCAATAGCGTTATTTGATTTTAGGTGTGGGAGGAGTATCTTGTGGACAGGACGCCTACGAGAAAATCAAGGCTGGTGCGTCGATCGTGCAGATTTACACGACGTTGGTCTTCGACGGACCTCCGGTTGTTACAAAGATCAAGAGGGAATTAGCTGAACTACTCGAACGGGATAACTACAAATCAATATCCGAAGCTGTCGGTGTTGACGCAAAATGAACTATTTTGTTTTCATTGAATTAATATATATATATATTGTTTTTTTTAACAAACGTCATATTTTTTTACTTTTTAATCTTTGAATCAAGCGAAAATGTCGAGGTTACGAAAAGCGGAGAAGAGCGGAATCATCGCCTCTTTGCCAGTGGCCATAAAATCCTCCAGTAAAGATTTATCCACATGGGTATCTGTCGTAATGGAAGAAGAATTACCCAACGTGAAAACCCAAACCCTAATCAAAGCTAAACCCAAGAAGAGGCGTTCGCTGAAATTACTGCTGAGTTTCTTAATGCAAATCGAAGAATTTTGGCGATCAATCCTCGTAATCTCCGTGATCCTACAATTCTTCTCCATCACGTACACTCATTTCATTTGGAAACCTAAACATTTCATAAACAACCTCTTCTACGTTATTTTACTGTGCGAAATAATTTATTTCTTCAACGTCGTCTCCGGCGTACTCGTGCCTAAGATCTTCAAAGACAGACGTATAAAACACATGCAGGTGGCTTGCGATGTGGTTTTGCTATTACCGTTCTGGCAAATCTACTATGTTTCCACTTTTAAAATGGACTTGGTGTTCATTGCTCTTCGCAGTTTAAGCTTATTTAGACTGTACAAAGTTCCCATCTTCTTTGAGAATTGTTATAAAAAGCTACACAAAATTAGCTCCTTCATTTTGGTCGAAGTTTTAATTTATACCGGTGTATTAATCCAATTGACCGCTTGCTTTTGGTACAACTATGATAACAAACCTTCGAACTATTTGGAATCACTTTACTACAGCTATTTGAGTTTGTTCAGTTACGGTGGTTTGATGACATCTATGAAAAGCATATCGCAAATCACCATTGGTGAGTTTAAGTTGTAAATTCTCAAATTCGTTTATAAAACCAATTTTATTTAATAGGTTTAGGAATGTTGTTTTGCTATTTGCTGTTGATCTACTACGCTTCCAATATGTTTCTGTTGAGCGTCGCTAAGAAACGAAGAAAGTATGAGCTTCTGGAAGAATACAGGAACATGAGGAAGTATTGTCGTGAGGAGGCTACGATGGATCAGAGTTTTCTATCAAATTTGAAAGAGTACTACAAGCAGGTTTGGCTCAGCAAGTTAGGAGCACGCGAAGTGGAGGTGTTCTATTTAGCGCCGAACACTATAAGAGCTAACATGCTGTTCGACATTAATCTGCCTGCTCTCAGACGATCGCTCATCTTCAAGAACTCTTCTGAGGCTTACTTTCGGCACTTGGCCACCACCATGAAACACGAGTTCTACATCAAAGGTCAAATGATTTACAAGCAGAACGAACTCAAGAATAAAATGGTATATTTTATTATAAATATTGAACTGGATTTTGAATTATCTACTTTTATGTAGATTATCATTATCACTGGAGTAGTTGAGGTGTTATCTGAAGAAGACGAAAACAGTCCATTGATAGCATTTGGTCCTGGTACTTGCTTAGGAGAATCATCTCTTCTTCTAACCTTAAGGTCTAAGTCTTCGGTGATGGCTACGACCTTCGTGGAATTACAAGTAAGTTATCTTATAAAATTCAATAAAGTAAAAAGTAATTGTCATCATATAATTTAGGTTTTGTACCGTGAAGATTTCTACGCGACAATTCCGTTTTACACGAAGCAATACACGAAAGTCTTCAAGTACATCAGGAATCGAGTGCACGAGGCGCGTATTCGCTCCACAAGAAACAACAGAAAACTGTCTTCTATAAAGAAAATCAAAGAATCCTGCATGGTGGATGAAACTTCAATCCTAAAATTATACTGTCTGCACAAGGAGCATACATTCTCAAGGCTCATAGACGCGCACTCTACTTTATATCGAATCTGGGAAATGTTCATAGCTTTGCTCGCTGTATTCGTGAGCATCTCGTACCCGTACTACATAGCTTTCGAAAGGAAATTCCCGCAAACCTTGTACATACCATCCATCTTCATCGAGTTTCTGTTTGTGCTCGATATTCCCTTAATCCTGGTCACGAAGACATCGAGGAGCGAAACTTCACTGAAAAAGTTGATTTCCGCAAAACTAAACACCTTCACTTTCTACATCGATCTTTTTGCTGCCTTTTACTTCGAATACTTTGCGTATCTATTCGAAAACAACGATAGATACTTTTACCTCTTCAAATTGAATCGATTGCTGAAATTCTATCGCGTTGTGGCTTTATTGAAGAAAATCAATGGATATGAAGGTTTAAAGAGTTTATTTGTGTGCCTCGTGTTGATTTTTTGGTCATCAACTGCTGTTTATTTGGGAACGTGTTTCAACCACATCTGCACCGATGGTGGATGGTACAAGTTGAAGATGATTCAAGAAAGCGGAAATCAAACTGCAGCACCAATATTCAAAGAGCGTTTCTTGTTCTCCACTTACTTCGCATTGTCATACATAACGCGCTTTGAAATTCACGAAATATTCTTGAAGAATTTCATTGATATCCTCATCGTTTGCGCTTTAGTAGCAATTGGTAAGTTTTGGTATATAAAATTGAATTGTTTATTATTTGGCAATTTCAGCTGCGCTTATGTGGGGGTATTGCATGGGACAAATCGGTGCTGGATGTTATTTGAAATTGAGAAGGAGATTAAAGTTCGTTCAAGATGTTGAATCGATTAAAGCGCTTTGCGCGAAGACAAAGATGTCTTTGCGATTGGAGACGCGTCTTCTGAATTACTACTACTTGCAATGGGAGCACAGGAAATCTTTCGACTACCAAAACAACTTGCACAAAAGCTTGGAGGATGAGCTTTTAAGGGAAGAACGAATTAATACTTTGAGGACGATTCCTATGTTTGGTGAAAACGATGAAGAGTTCTTAAAAGCCGTAGCTCTTCGGTCCAAAATGTACATCCTACCACCAGGAGACATCGTCACTTATTACGGAAGCATGAACAAAGAGATGTTCATCATTAAAGAAGGATATTGCGTTTATAAAAATTGTAAGTTACAAAATAAATGTATGAAAATTAATTATTGTGTTATGCTTCAGGTGGTGGATTTTATAGAAGAATGGGACCGAATTCTGTATTCGGTATGTGCTGTTTATTCTTCAACTTACCGGAGGTGCTGACTGTGAGGACTTTGACTCACTGCAAGTTAATTTCCATCGATGGTTCGGCTCTGCAAATCTCGTTAAATATGTTTCCGGAAATCAACAGAACTATAAAAAGCATCTACAAAGAGGTCATCTACAACAACGCCAGAGATTTCATCGAGATGCCTGAGCTCACTTACTTTGAAAACGATAGACCTAGAAGTTATTTCGACTGGAAGAAGATTATCAACAAAGGTATTAAAATTGATCTTGCATATTACCAAAACCTATATAAATTTAATTGTAGCGTCTCTGGTGAACGTTTTGCATTTTTGCAAGAAGTACTCGGAAAGTTACGATTATCCTTTTCGGAATCACGACACGCTTTACTTACTGAAATACATTCTTCTGCCATTGACGATTCTACCAAATGGACTTGTTATGTTTACTTGGATCTTTCTGCGTTTGCTCGTCTGCTTCCTCTACGCTTATTTAGAACCAATGCAATTCATCTTAACTCCATTTCACGCCAACTTTCATCTGCTTATGTTCGCTCTAGATTTCATCACCTATTTAGATCTGTACGTTTTGTTTCACCTCTGTTTCTATGGAGATCACAACCAGTTGATCTTTCATCCGTTAAGAACAGCTGTAAACTATGCTAATAGCTCGTTTACTATCGATTTACTTCTTTGCTTTCCTTACGAGATTGCTCTGAAAATCTTCCTTCCTAGCCACGACGAAAACCATACCATTGAAGCCCACCAAATAAGCCCACACTTCATGCATTGCTCCGTGAGATTAGTTAAAATCCTACAAGTTTACAAACTGTTCGTGGCTTTCAACACTTGGGAAAACAACATCTACTTTAAAGTAAATAAATTTAAATACGCATTCCTCTAATAGATTAATTAAAATTTAACATTTTTAGGTGATTTGGGTGAAAATTTTAAAGTTCACCTGCATCTACATTCTTCTCATGAACTTGTTGACTTGCTGCTTAATAGTATCCAGCTGCGAGTATGTTCACAGCGAGCACAAACATTCCACATTCGATTATAACTCGATGCGTTTAGAATGCGAAAAACAATCGTGGTTAAACAGATCGAAATACATGAACGACAATTCTTTCGTGGATATTTACACGACCGGTATATATTGGGTGACGAATATGATGGTTGGGTTGAATTTTTGGGATCTTATGGTGCAAGGCGGATCCAACTTGATTCTCTGCATATTTACAATACTTGTTGGAAACTTATTCCTCGGGTTCGTGCACAAATCTTAATAAAAATCCTTCTTTATAATATTCTTTATAATTTTTAGATATACGTTAGCCACGTTCATGTCTTTTGCTATAAACCATGATAGCACTGTGATTAAATACAAGAAGGAAGTGAAAGATCTGAAGAGGTTCATGGAGCACGAAAAAGTTGACAAATATTTGAGAAGAAAATTATTAAAGAACGTGTTGTATATTTGGAGACGGACTAAAGGAATCAATGTATGAATATATTGTTTAATTAATATTGAATTTGCTATTAAGAAATTATTTATAGAGTATCGATATGTTCTCGTGTCTTCACACTACTTTGCTGCAAGATACTTTATCGTTTCTGTACGAAGAGACGTTGCGACAAGTGCCTTTATTCAAAGGGTTGGATAGATCCTTTTTGAGGATAATGTCGATGATCGTTAAACCCCAATACTTTCTCGAAGGTCAGGAGATCATCCGATACGAAGACATCGTTGATGAATTCTACATTTTGCGTCGCGGAACGGTTGGTTCACTGAAAATTTAATTTAGCAAAACGAAACCTATTTTCTATTAATATTTAGGTGGAAGTGGAATTAACCAGAAGCGAATTAAAAATGGATTTGAGAAGAGGCAGTTTGTTTGGGTATTATTGCAATGAAACTGTACCTGTGATGAGCATCAGGGCAACAGCTATAACCAACGCAGACGTTCTTTGCATTCGCACCATCGACTATTACAACATTTTAAAGGTATTTTATTAAATTTAGAAAAGTATTTATACTTAAATTATCTTTAAGAATTACACCAAATTCAATTACAAGATTAAAGATGTAATGAGCGAGTACAAGGACTTTATGCCAAACAAATACTGTGAAGCCAACATTGACGTTGTTGTGTACAAAAGGGTTGAAGTTATATTTAAATTGTACAGATTTAGATATTAACTACTTAAATTTTAGGGAAATACGGTTGAAAAGAATCCGAGCTTCAAGATGCGAAAAGTGGAGAAAATCTTCAAGTCTTTGGAACACTTCTACTTAATATCTTCATATCTGAGCTGTTTACTAGTGATAACGCAGTTTTGCTTCAGAAGTAGATGCATGTTTTTCACCACTGCCACAATTGACTTGATTTTCTTGATGAAGTTCACTTTAAACTTCTATCAGCCGTTCTACGATAACTTCGCGGATCTTGTTATCAACAAACATCGCATAAAGAAACGGTGATATTCTTTATATATAACATTTTTGTTTAAATTGATAATTGCTTCCAAACTGTAGGTATTTAAAAAATAAATGGCGAGTCATTTTTGATTTCTTCACTATGGTAATACCATTTGCTGGAAATCTGATATTTTATACAGGATTTGCGATGAGAGATTCTTATTACAAAAGTGCTTACATCAAAAGCGTAGCCATTCTTCGAGTCTGCTACATCTTTGATTACTTTAGAGCTAGAATGGAGAATATTGAAATTAATCAAATCAAACTGAGAATATTGTAAGAATTATTTGACTAATTATTAGTTTTTTAAAGTTTAAACATTTCAGGCAATTGATGGTTTGGGGCTCTCTGTTCGTGCTTTACCTTTCCAGCATTTGGTTTCTTGTGATGTGTCCCTTCGGGGAATGCGAATCTTTGAAAGTTTTTCCCAAAGACAAAGCAAACGTAATTAACTAATCATATTTGATTATGTTTGCTTACAAATTACATTTTTTTTTTGTAGAGCAAATATACGATGTTTGCGAGTTGCCTGTTCTTCGTCATAAACATCATCTGCGGCTCGGGGTTCGTCGAAGTCGACTTGCAGCTCAAAATGCATAAAATACTTGTAATCTTCATGATCATATCATCAAGGATATTCATGATATTCACAGTGAATACAGTTATTAACATGATTTGGATTCACGTCGGTTTGATCATGAGGTACGAATCGAAGTTGGAGGAACTTAGGGATTTCATGAGATGCGCCAGAGTTAACGAATTCCAAGTGCGGAAGGTGCTGAAATATTTGGTAAATCTGTGGACGTACGATGGAGGATGCAATGTAAGGATTTTTATCCTAATTAATTTATTTTTAATATTTCCTATTTTTTTGTTCAGTTTCCTGTTCTAGTTGATAAACTGCCTTCGCCTCTCGTCAAAGAATTGAAGATTGAACTTTATTTACCGCTACTAATGAAATCGTATCTGTTCAATGGTACAGAGGAATTGTTCCTTAAAAATATTGCAGTTCTCTTGGATCGAAGCATTTATTATCCTGGTAATTTCATCGTCTACGATTGCCAAATTGATGAATGCATGTACTTTATAAAGAGTGGACAAGTGAGCATTTACTAAAATATTTATTAATAATTTTACATGTTTTATAATATAAATTTGGTGGCAAAAGAAACGCCCCCGGGTGGACTCGAACCACCAACCTTTCGGTTAACAGCCGAACGCGCTAACCAATTGCGCCACGGAGGCTGCTTGAACACATTTTCCCACCACTCCGTCTCCAATTCAAACGCTAATTACTTGTAATTTGTAGGTAGAAATCCTGACGATCAACACTAATTTAACGGAAACTATACACGATGTGCTACATGAGATGGAGATGTTCGGTCTGGCGCAGGGATTATTCAACAGAATACCGCATCACTTCACGTTCAGAGCCAGGACAAAAGTGGAAATCCTCACGTTGCAGTTGGAGAAATGGGATTATCTTCTTCGGTACTACGAGAACAGTAAGCAAATTGTGTACAAGAGAATTAGGAATGCGCACATGCAGCTCAACAAGTAATCATTGGTTGAGTTGTATGATGATGATAAGATTGGAGGCGACGACGCCGAAGAGCGAGAGTAATAAGGATATGTTTATATCGAAGAAACCAGCAGCCGAAAAATTATCCACGGAAGAGCATTGATCCGCGAACAGCGCCAAATCTTCGCGTCCTTCGTCGTTCAAATGCATTTCCAATAGGATTTTGTAGCAAATGTTTGCTGTTTTCCTGGCATTCGCAGAGACGACGTCGCAGGATACGATCACCATAACTCCGAACACCTTAACAAAATCGCTTGTAACTTTTATTCATATATTATCAAATAACATACTTACTAATAGTAATATAGCTATCAAGAAGTTGATTGCAATTAGATCGTCGTTGTCGACGGAAGTCTTCGATTTGTGCATCGAAAATATAACTATAGAGTCAAAAGCGTAGAGTAATTGCACGACGATGTTGAGCGAAATGAAAAGCATGTTCCATCCGAAGACATCGTTGAATCTCATCGCAATTTCGCTTAAAGTAGTGAACAAACCCCACATTCGCAAAACCCCGTTCTTCTGCTGAAACTTGTAGCTCTTCTTGAAGTCCGTAATCACGAACATGCTTAACGAATTCTGGCTGATCTCTTTGATCAACATCCCGTTTGCCGTCTCGTATCTGTACTTTAAGCAAATAGCGAAATTGTAGTTGATCAAAGAGGACACGAATATGAAGTACAGCAGTATGTTGTAGAAGATGATCTGTTGCAACGGAATCAATTTGTAGGTGATGTAGCATTGGTAGATGATCATAGCTAAACAGTAGATGTGAGCCACGAGAACCTCAATGTAGAATAGCCTATTGGAACTCTTTTTGTCGTGATTATGTTTCACAAAAATTTCGACTTCGTGAAACATGTGTAGAAGTTGCTTCCACTTGTCGCGGTTCCAAAATATTGCGCTGCAAATAACGTTCACTTGGGACGCGGCGGAAACGAACATCGTCGCTATATACGTAACTAGCGTAGTTATGGACAACTCTTTATAATTCAGCATAATCATAAAGTCCACGTAGCCTATTATGAATAGGGAAACTATGATTATGGCTCGCACTTGATCCCATGTGGAGACGATCACTTCGTTCCTCTTGAAATCGTAATTGGGCGTTTGGCATAACCAGCTTGATAAGTTGTATAGAAGATGAATAGCTCTCAAAGAACGTTTTCGATTGATTGGCATCTTGCTATTGTACATTAAGCACAGAAAATCCTTCTTATATAACGAGTCCGCATAATAAGCTCCATTACGCCTTCCCTTTGTTATGAGCGTTACCGCACAAAAACTTAGTTAATGGATTCTTTTAAACTGCTTCTTCATATATTCCAATACAAAGCAACTTTTACTTACATCTAATACTATTGATGATATACTTTATATTATTGATCATCCACGCAAGCTAATTACATCACAGAACATAAATCATAAACGAAAAAATGGAAACCTTTTCGGATACGCTGAAAAACTCATTGGATCGCAACGTTAGTTCCAAAGACGTTTGCACGAATCGTAGCACCGTAGTTTTTAGAAATCCCATCAAAATCAATAAAACATCTTCCTTTAAAAATCTTATAAAGATAAATAAATTGGAAATCACATAGAAATCAATAAGATCCTGAAAATCCTGAAATTAAAGAAAACATGATGATTTCAATAGAAAAGTAGAAAATGCAACATTATTTTAGGAAAAGTCCTATGGATAATTAATTAAGAAATTACTGATTTTGAGAAACATAAACACATTATTTATGTTCTCCATTCATCTGTAAAAAATCTATTTAGTATATAGTATAAATGTCAGTGAAATTTTGAGGTTATAAATTTTCACTGAATACAACAAATGTAAATACTATTAATTAATCGCTATGGAATCAAATAAGGAAACGCTGCAGAAATTTCCGAAAACCATACGCAAATATATTCAGGAGCTATGGTTGGATGGTACAATTGGTGAGTGTTTAATAATAAAAAGAAAAAGTAATATTAAAATTTGCTAACTTTTAGTATTATCCTGCGGCAATGTAAACATATACACTGATGACAAGAAACCCATCTATGGCAATGACCTTTCGCAAGGAACAAACTTTGTGGTGTGCATACCATTCGCTGGCAAGATACTCAACTGGGAGATAATTTTCAACGATGAGGATCTCTCATTGGCCCCAGACTTTGATTTCATAGATGATGAGTTTCTCCTGGACCCAGACATTGATGTTATTGAAACTGATGTTCCATCTTTAGCCAAATGGGACATTGAGGATTCCAAAGGTTTAGTTGCAGTTATCAAAGAGTTTTTAGTGTTGTACAAGAAGTATCAGTTTCTGAAGTTGCAAGATAATAGATATACAAGGCAGTACATGGAATACAGCTTGCTGAATGAGGAATTGGGAATCACACAGGATGAAATTGAAGTGCTGATCGATCAGAAAGAATCAGTGCATTTCTTGATTGCACTGAAAATAGATTGCAGTAATTTACCACCTCATGCACAAAGGTATATAAGTGAATATTGTTGTTGTTTTCTTATTGTATGGTATGGTTTTTTAATTTACAGAGAATTCTTTGCTGGTGGTAAATGCTTGAATCCAGGTGGTGATTCAGCAACTCTCAAAGTTACCTATGTAGGGAATAAAGTTACAACAACTGTTGTACTCTCTCCAAGGCTGGAGGAGATCCTGTGCAAAACGAATCAATTGAATTTTCCTCCATTCAACAAGGACAGCGGTTTGGTAGAGTACGTTCCGTTGGTACATCAAGCTGTGCAGAATCGCATACAGCAGATTCGAAATCACTACAATCTCTGTAATAACTTCATCAGCGCTTTCTTGGCGTATCAAGGCCACAGCGTATTGGAATACGATAGTATTAACTTCATGAAGATATCCTTAATGCTGGAAGTCGAGAATGCGTATAGCGTTGTTACCATTACATTAGGTAGGTTAATTAATAACGTTGAATTGTCATAGATTTTAACGCTTTTAACTTTGCAGATAACAAATTCCCGCAGAGCAAACCCAAGGTGCAGTTGCTATCAATTTCCCATAAGAAGAATGATATACCTCATGTTGAGAACTTGGCCTATCCTTACAGCCCCAAATGGACCATGGAGTTCCTAGCCAATAAGATTTTGACCCAGCTAGCAGAAGCTGTACCAATGTTCAAAGAAGACTGTATTAAGTTTTAATCCATCAAGTAAATCGCGATCGCTTCTACCACTTATATAATAAGCTTATATAATACAATACTGTATATCTTTATTATTTTATTTTTAAAATATAATCAATTTATAAACGTTGATGTTATTTAAATTATAGTTATGCATAAGTAATGCAAAGAAATGTTTATTTAACAATTCAAATTTTAAATAGGGCGCATGTGTATGTGTATCAAAGAAACTATAACATAACCTCCAACAAAATATAGTGAGAGGTTATATTTTCGTCTGAGATATGGGAACTTTAACTAGGGCTCTGCAAAGGCTGTGCATCTCGGAACTATCCGCAGCTCCAAAGCTGATAATTCCAGTTCGTCACAGGAAGTATGTGGAGAAGCCTACACCTGGTTTGGGCATCAGTTACAGGAGGATTGTGCATTATCCGGAGGAGTACACAGTGAAACCTTTGGATGTGACGAATCTGGGTGGACGTGATCCTGTTAGCGGTAGATTGGTGGCAAAAGGTATTGGGGGTGGCATCAAACATAAATTCCATTGGGTGCAATGGAAGAGGGAGGGACCAAAGGAAGGTCCACCAAAGGTTGAGAAGGTTGTCAAGATAATTGTGGATGGATGCCGGACATCTCACATTGCTTTGATTGCCCATGAGAATGAGCTCAAATACTATTTGGCTACAGAGAATATGAAGCCTGGTGATTTGATCAGGACTTCGATGCATATTCCTAGGATTCCAGGTAGATTTAATGAAACATTCAACATAGTTTAAATTAAATGTTTTTGTTTTCAGTGAGAGCTTATGAAGGTGATTCTTATCCCTTGGGAGCATTATCTATTGGCACTCAGATCAACAGTGTTGAGAAGTATCCAGGATTGGGTGGATTCTTGGTGCATGCAGCTGGTGCGTATGCCACAATTGTACGGAAAGCTCCTAACAATAGGGTTGTAATTCAATTACCCAGCAAGAGGGAATTTGCATTACCTGAAGGATGCATGTGCACTGTAGGAAAGTTGAGTAATGCAATTCATGGTTCAACTCCAATTGGATCTGCGCAGAGAAACAGGGAATTGGGAAACAGGCCAAGATCTGGTCTTTGGCAGAGGAAGAGCGGAAAGCACGGAAGGAAGATCAGGAGATTGCCGCCGGTTAAAGAAATTACCAGTGGAAATAACAAGAAACAGGAAATTATCAAATTGAGCCTGGATGGAATTCACTGTTGATTACATAGATATTTTTAGTTAATAATAAATTTACATAAATTATTTGATATTCGTTTTTCTTTTTCTTTTACATACAAATAACAATTTCGTTAAGATTTACTAGGTGTGATAAACTTTTGGAATAGAAGCGGATAAGAGACGTTGTACACTTGAAATCCTTGCTCCTCCAACTCTTCGATTGTCTCCGGATTCAAAGATCTCAAAATTTCCAATCTCTTTAACATTCTGTTCTTAACAATCAAACTTCGAACAACCTTGATGAACTTCCCCATAACGATGTACCGTTTGAACCAAGGCTCCAAAGTTTTTGGCGTTTCAATGGGATTATCCAGTTCCTTAAAACATTTCATTTCATAAATTAATCCTTAAATGTCACCATGCAAAACTAACTCCATAAATGGGCCTTAAAGTCCTTTTTCTCAAAACAAACCCTTCACCCTTTTTAAAATGATCGCTGTGTGTAGGTTTCTGAAACAATTAAACTCTTTCAATCAAAACTTTCTTGCATTCAATCAAGATACAACAAACGTCTATTCTGTTCAAGAACTCGAACTTCATGGACATGTCACCGTCGATGTCTAATTTAACTTTATCGCTCGCCAAGACCATCTTGTTGAGATCCTTGTACTCCTTCACGGACTCATGGAACTGCTTCTTCTTCAGTTCATAAATATCGTAATCCTCGTCGCGATATCGAGCTGACGGATTCAGCAGTTCTCTTTTACCGTGAACGGGCGGTCCTCTGTCCAAAATCTTTTTATTCACATCGTGCTGAGTTAAAATGCGATTTCTCTCGCACATTTTTGATCTCTAAAATATTATTTCAAAATAGCAAAGCATGCTTTATATTTATTTCCACAACCGAATACTTTTCAATATTGTTAAGATGCATGTTTGGCGATTTAATTAACAGGAGAGGTTAATTTCAAATTTATTTACAAATATGTATTTAGATACCTAAAGAATGATGTTTCATCATTCGTTTGCTACTAAAATCATTAATATTGGTCAATTAATAAGAAAGTTATTAAGCTTTAATATGTCCATGGTTTTCTCGAATGAAAATGCAAATCCCCCTTGAATCTCAGCAAATTTGATAACTTGTAGCACTTCCACTTTCTGGTAAATTAAAAGAAGACAACTATAGATGCCTTTAGCTACTATCAGCTTCACTTAAAATAATAACATTTTTTTTCTTCCGCCTGCTACTTTCCTCTAGGAAGAGCCTCTTCCATTTAACTGCGTCCTGTCCACGCATTACGCCAATCGCAATCTGTATTGTAGTGAAAAGTTTCGAGGATAGGTGGAGAAATAATAACTTCATTTACTAATCAATTGTTGACAATTTATTTTCTATTTTGTATTTTCTATTTTTTTACTATTTGCAATCAATGCAAATACTTATATGAAGACACTAATTCAGATTGTTGTACGAAAAATGATTTGTTCAAGTTATCATAGCCTCTGATATTACTTTTGTTATAGATGGTTATTAACATTTTGAAGTGGTACTTGCCTAAAATGACATACCTCAGATACCTCCTCGCTAATCCTAGTCTCCTAGTGCAAATCGAAATTTTCAGTCATTTTAGAGAACCATAGGGGGGAGACTTGCGTTTCGATTCGCAAAAACCGCGTACACTTGAAAGCTTAATAACTTTCTTATTAATTGACCAATATTAATGTATTTAGTATCAAATGAAAGCGAAAGAATCATTCTTTAGAACTGTAAATTAAAATTTTCAAATATATATGCATAAAATCATTTTATGATTTTTTTTTTCAATTTGCAATTATACCTTTATTTTTTTTTTAATTAATCGATTAACATATTAAACTGTCAATTAAAGATACAACTACAACCTTTCCTATAAGCGTACTACCGAAATTGTAGTTTGCACGGTACATATACCATAAGTTATCAAAATTAAGCATTTTAAACTCTTTCTCAATCAATATTTTTGTTTTTTTTAATTACGTATTAATGAGATTTTCTATTTTACTCTCTTGGATGTATAATTAATCTGAAATCATAAAAATCTATAAAATGTGAAAACACTGCTTTCTCGAGCGATAATTTGCATTCCCCAAACATTCAGCTTTCATATGCATCTT